AACTGATTTATCATTTGAAAGTTGGTATATTTATTTGTTATCATAATGTATTCAATGTAAACTTGAGACCTTATAAATGTTCCTATTTTACTTCCAAGGTTATATATGATATTTATAAATTGAGATGACTTGTTTTAAGACCTTTTGCAGGTTTAGGAGGATGTTGCTACAGAGCTTAGTGCTCATCCTCTATAACTAACATTTTTTAGATTTTGAATTGGGGCAAGATTTCAGACTAGAGGAATAGGTAAATTGGGCTATCAATATTGATGGTGATGTGGATCCCGAGGTAGATATTTAGGGATGCAACCCTAGTTGAAGGATTTTAATTACTTTGGTTTTAATGATGTAATAAACATTCTTTAGTTAGTCAGTTTTGGGATTTTGGATGTAATTTCCAAAGTTTAAATTATTGGTTTTGGATTTTGATTTAGTTACTTTGAATGAAGAATGTATTTTTTTGGTTTATGAATATTATTAGTTGCTCTCATGGTATGAATGGTTATTAGTTAGTAATGCTCAAATTGTAGAATTTGGGTATTGCAGATATTCAATCAATCATTCCAACAAACACATAGTGCGCATGTGTGGAAATAATCACAAGTGTATACAAAAAAGAGTAAAGAACACAAGCAATTTTGTTGACGTGAAAAACCCTCATCGGAAAAAATCGTAGGGAAGCTTATCTGTTCATCAAAGCCTAATCCAATACTTGCTAAGCCAACACACAAGTACTAGAGACTTATACCTCAACTAATATCATGGTTAGAAGCTCATTTCCTTGTTATCTCTCACCACCAAAAGTTCCTCGTCAACGTCTAGTGTAGCTTCACTTGGACCTCCTCATCGCATAGTTCTTCTAGGCCTCAAACGATTATGAGCATGCCAAAAATCCTCAGTAGGCACACACCAATGGGTTTCTCAAACCAAAAAGATCTTCAACTCCAATTTATAAGGTTAGGTAGAATCTCTAGTGGTAGCCTTTGGTTCTTAGGGATCTAGGTTGTGATGGAAGCTATCAAGGTAGAGAAATGAATTTCTCTATTTGAAGTTTCTCTAGAGGCTTAACCTAGATGTGGAAAATACTCTCCCTATTTATATGTCCGGAATAAGGGTAGTCTTAGTAAATAAGAAAATTCCTATTTGCAAACGATCGCTCGATCAATAGGAAGTCAGTTATAGGGCAGTTGTCATTGAAATGAAAACAACGTTTCAAACACGACTAAGATAGGCACTACTTAAGCGACCATGAGACCACTCGAGCGAGCTCATAGAGCGTGCCCTATGCTACCTTCCATGGCCTTTTCCTATTTCCTTTCCTAAGTCATAAAGAGACCATTCTAGTGAAGTGAGAATAGATCAGTCCCTACAGGTTTTTAAACATAAAACCATGCAATAACTTGTCATCTTGAGCACTAAAGGGTGTTTCTCAAAGAGGGGTCCGATTTTAACTTAAACTATGTTTTCAAAACTCATAAATGGTTTAGAAAAGAATTTATTTTAAAATCATCCAGGAGTCATAATCAGATCGCTTCCAATTTCATTTTTGTCTTAATCATACTGAGTTAAAAGTAACTAAGGGTTCATCTTAGATGTCTAGGTCACTACCATTGTCCTGAGCATGAAGGTGCATACGGAGTTTGAATGATGTTGCTTGACACTTGATCTCTTCCCTTCAATGACGATTTTGGATCTAGAACTTGATTGCATCATGACCATGGAATAGGTTGAGATTTTATAATAAACTTCACGAAATTAGCCAATTATGAATATGATCATATGATCTAACAATATATATCAAAAAAGTAATAAAATTTTCAAACTTAACAATTAAATGCAAAAAATTTCATTAATTATGAAAATAAAAAATATTCAAAACATAGCATATTCATCCTCATTTCATTATCTTCACACATTACTCTAAGGTTTATTAAAGTATTTAGAACTCGATGTTCATGCATGCAAGAAAAATTTCACATCAATTACTTTAATTTCACTCACACATGTTCAAATGTTATGAATCATTGACCAATTCATGTGTAACATGTGTAAAACCAAACTCTTACACAATTATAATTTTGTTTATATCAAATCATTAATAAAGCCCTATATGAATTCCTAATGCATAACCGGTTAGTGAGTGTCCTATTCAATTTTTCTTTTTAGTCACTCTCCCTATTTTTGCATCCCTTTTACTCATTATGACTTCAATTAGCATGATTGTAAATTCTGTAGTTTACAAATGATGCTTCTAAACTTGTGCAGCGTAGATCATTAATCTTTATATATGAGCAATTACATAAAGCATATAGTACTCTCAACAATTTAAGTGCAATTGACACTAGCCATTTATTTTATGCTTCACCTTTTTATTTTTGGCCCCATTGGGATCTTTTCTTACATTTGGCACATTGGAATCTTTAAGGGATTGGGGGCTTTACTAACCTTTAGCTAGGTGTTCACATATCACCAAAACTTAGAGTCATGTAAGGTCATTAATCATTCAATAGAACTAGACTCCTAAGTATGGAGGTGAATGGTTGGACTGTACTTGGTTTATGAATTTTCATAAATAATGACAATATCCAAGCACGCTAGGATGAAAGAGACATGGTTTAAGGATCATGTAATAAGATTTGTAACCACAAAGTAATGCACTTCAACTTTGATTTAAAGATGGATAAGTTGTAGTTCAAACCAAAGTGTGATTACTATGATTAACAATGGAAAAACAAACAAAAAAAAAAATTTTCCCTTTTATTTTTCCAATGTTTTTGGTTTTTCTTAATAACATAAAATCAAAAAAAATATGCATTAACAAGGAAAAATATAGCAACTACCATAAATCATAAGAATGTCCAACTAGACATCAAAATTTTTTTTAGATTTTCAACCTTTTTTTTTTTTTATATATTTTTCATTTATAAAAAATAAAGTAAATAAAAAAAAACTACAGTGTATGAACCTAAGATATAAGATGTCATGCATGAGTATGTACCTAGGTCTACACCTTACCTCACCTAACTTTTAGATGACTCAATCTCCTTGATAGCATTCGTGGCTTATAATTTGGTTGAGGCTGTGAGTCTCTCAAAGTCCTCTTTACTCACCAACATTTGGTTTCCCTTATCTCTAGGGTTAGCTTGGGGCAAGAGTGTTGGATTAGCTCTCCTCTCTCTACGTGTCGTTAAGTAAATGTTAACCTTGGGAGTAGAGTGAGCTTTATGCTTTCAATTTGTTAGCCTTTAGGTGGTGAGGAATTCTAGGCTTAGACTTATGTGACCTATCCATAACTTGGTAATATGTATGAGTTAATCATTAAAGGATTTGGATTGGTTAGCTATGAGAAGGAGCTTCTTAGACATGACATCCCTATTATGCATACAATTTGTGCTATAGTGACCATGTTCTCCCCATGCAAAACACACAAATTGTTTGGTCAAGGGTTCTTTATCAACCGACTTCTTAAGTGCTTACCCTTACCATTCTTTGCCTTTGGGGGACTTGTGTTCACACGTGGGGGGTGATGGGTTGGGATTACCCTTCACAAACATTGTCTTAGAAGGAGTGGAACTGGTGTGCTCATGTGTATAGCCCAAAACTCTTTCGTCACTTACACTCTTACCTATAGACAATATTTTGTTAAGCTTTTCTGACCATAGGGATAGTCTCTTAGAGAGTTCTTGTGATTCGTGAAGGTCTCTATCAAGTTTTATTCACTTAAACTCTAGACCCTTCTTAGACTTTACATGCCCATGATATCCACTCTCTAGAAAACTCACCTTGTCCTTCATGGAATTATTCTCTTCTTCAAGCCCACAAATTTGAGCCTTGGACTTCATTAAGTCTGCATGGAGTGCTTGCTTTTCTTCTACACTTGATTTGAGCCTTGTGCTCAATGCATGCACTCTCTTATTTTCTTTGAGAAATTCTTCAACTAGTCGATCATAACCCTCTTGAATATCCTCAATGCACTTGGTGTCATAATCACTTGAGGAAACCTCAACATCCAAGTCTTCTACCCTCATTGTAGGACTTGCTCTTTCTTCTTTTCTATCACTTTTAACGTTTTTGGTAGAAGTTTCTCTAGGGGGAGGAATGTGAGCCAACGAAAGTCATAAAATTCTCTTCATCATCTTGAGAAGAAGAGTCCTCAGTCGAAGTGGACTCACTTTAACTATTGCTCTACTTGGCTTTTATTGTTGTCCTTTTAAACTTGGGAAAATCCTTCTTCTTCCTATTTGGGCATTCTACAACCGTGTGTCTAAAGCGTTGAAACTCATAACATTGGAGCCTTTGCCCCTTCTTTTTTTTTTAGCCTTTTGCTAAAATTTCTTTACCCCCTTTTGAATCTCCTCCGTCCTTAGTAAGCTTAGGTCTACTACAATTCCCTTTTGACCCGGAAGACTCTCTAGCCTTAAAATATTTTCGAACTTTCTCACAAGAAAGTCTATGTTCTTATCTCCCAAGTGAGTTGACTCGGATATATCCTTTTCTTCTCAGATTGATCTTAAAGCCATACCCTTCAATTTCTTGGGTGAAAGGAGATTCATCTCAAAAGTCAATGTAGATTCAATTAGGTCTTCTACTAACACCTTATCCAAATCGACTCTCATCTCTAAGGCTTCACTTTAGCTTGAAATCTCTCTAATGGAGATTTCAATATTTTTGATTTTATCGCGGGGTATTCATTTTTTTTTTTTTTTGGAATAAATATGAAGTATGCATACTTGAAACTAAGGAAAAAAGATGAGTTGACTAATTCAAGTAATTTAACATAAAAATCACTAACAGTCTCATCCTCTAACATCCTTATGGTCTAAAAATGGGTGGTGTACTATTGGAGGGGGGACATCTACAATGAGAGACCTCTTGAATGCCCCATGCCTCCTTGGAAGTCTCGCAGTTTGAGATCCTATGAAACTTATTTGGAGAAATGACATTGGATATCATATTATAGCCTTTTGAGTTCCACCTGCACATTCATATTCATTCTTCGTCCATGTGCTTAGGAGTTTTGGCTCGGTCATTGTGTCAATCCCCTCAGTATTCATTATAGTGGGAGGGGTCCAACCTTCCAACATTGGCAACCAAATTGGCTCATCTAATGATTTTAGGAAAACTCTCATTTGTGCCTTCCAATATGCATAATTAGACCCTTTGAAGAGCGGTGGTCACTTGAACGATCCTCGTTCTCTTTGAGAATCCATTAATAAAAAACTTGTAGTTATAACAAATCTCAAAGCAAACAAAAACTAGGTTAAGTAAGTAAAACAAAAAGAATGCCTACAAGTGCCTAATGTAATCTGCTTGACTCCAAATAAATACATCCAAGTGAGGTGGTCAAAAAGTAGTAATACTCAGTAAAGTTTGAGGTCGTACCACAGAGATTGAAGAAATTAAGAAGTATGTTGTTCCAAGGGGGGACAAAAGATATGAATCTTCCCCCACAATTATACATGTGAAGCGTATGACATTGCCTAGAGGGGGTGAATAAGTTTTTCAATTTTAAACAAAATCGATTACAAATTAAAACCTAACTCTATCATAATTACCTCTTCTCACAATGATTGGTCAATTAATTAGTAAGAACTCCTTTCAGTCACCACGACCTCAGGAACCCATGTAGATTGATGTTGTTAATTTTAGAAATTAAATACACAAACACTCAATCTCACATGAGGAACCCAAAATCCAAATGCAACTGTAGATGAAATAGATTTCAATCAATCATATTTGTAACACCCCAAAACACACCCTGGGCGACATTATATTCTAAAACCATTCATATCATGAGAGCACTAATATAATCCCTTAAGAAACAAGACTTCATTTGTCATTCACGAATATTTACAATATTATCCAAAAGAATAAGCCCAAGTCATGGCTATTACATTTCAAAAATTAATTAAAGAAGCGCAACGGAATATACAAAAGAAGCTAGACTACAAAATGTTCCAAAAGAATGTCCTAGTCTAGTACAAAAGGAAAGGAGGTCGCTCTATGCGTCCACCTCGGGGTCCACACTCCCGTCCAATGGTGTCTCCCAAGTAGCAGGCTCCTCGACCCTTACGTCCTCCTCCTTAAGCGGGTAATCTGAAAAATGTTAGCGATAAGGGGTGAGCACGAAGCTCTATAGAAAAACTCTCCCAAACCCATACAAGGTTTAGAAAAATATTTAAAACGGTCGGTCTCAATTTTAACATAACATAGATACATAATTTGAAATAAAATAGTGACATTTAAAAGGATCTCAAGTTTATTTAAAAACATTACTTAAATGAATAAACGAGAATCACATACAAATAATAACCATTAATTGTCATAACCAATTCCCAACAATTCTTTCGGTAGATGGCATACTTTGTGGTAACCTCCACCCCCCTTTAGGTCACCTTTGATTCTCAAGCATTTTTATTGAAAACCTCTTGAGAATGGATGAGCATCCTTACATGGAACCTCTCACCAATCACTACATTGTTTCCCAAGCATCCTTACCGGGAACCTCTTGGGAAGGGGTGAGCATCCTTCCAAGGAACCTCTCACTCATGTGCATCACAAACAACCCAACCAAGCATACAATTTATCTCAATTTATAAGCATCTATCCAAAATCCCCAAAATATATCATGTAACAATTCCACAATCAACGAAGAAAATACATGAGATCACAATAACATCATTTTTCTACCCAACACAAAGCACTAAGGTTTTGAAATCTATAATAAAGAAAGCATTAGGAAGAAAATACATCACTCTCCAAAAAATAGGGTTTAAAACTAGAAAGGAGGTTTCATGGGTATTAAACCCTACTTTGTTCAAAACATGTAATCCTTTCAAAAAGCCTAAAAGAGGATGATTCCATCGCATATAGATATACCATTGATAGTCAAAACATACATATATAAATACCCTAACCTCAATGCAAGTGCATGAGAGAAAACCCCTACTTTGAATCCTTAGTTTGTAGGAAGAACTTGAGCTTTGATCTTAAATCTACCCTTAAATCTCTTGATTTTCCCTTCCTTTCTTCCTCTCTACTGCTCTCTAGGGTTCCAAGAGGTGTGGGGTGAGAATGGAGTGAAATAAATGAGGGAAAATGGGATTTAAAACACCTCAGCCCCGAAATTCACTATTCACAGCCTGTTTTGGTTTTCTCCAAAATTACGGTTTTACCACTAAGAATCTCCAATTTGATCCATATGACTACCCTAAGGTTTTTCGACATTCCAGATTCATTTTTAAGGTTATTTTAACCTAAAAATATTTATTTTTATGATTTATCTCAAAATCAAAGTCAACGTACACCGAAACATTAAAGTTTCTATTTTACCCATCCGAACCGGCTATTAATGAAGTTTTGCGTTGTTTGCAAACAAAAGGTGATAAATGGTGATTCTTAAAGCCTTTTATACTTATTTGAAGCTTAAATGTACTCATTATTCTTATATTTTTATTTAGGATGCAAATGGTGACATTAAATGTAAAACGAAGCTAATTGGACTATTTTGACATCGCTTCGTTATCTGGGCATAACTCTCTCATCTGAGTTCCGATTGAGATTCTTCAAGATTCTATGGAATGATAAGAAGGATATCTAAAACTTTCATGCTTTGAGTTTTGAGAGATATTGACTTCATCAAGGTCTAAATCGGGCTTAAAGTTGCAGCCAGTGCACTGTTCAAGCTAATTGGGCTGTTTTGACATCACTTCGTTATCTGGGAATAAATCTCTCATCCGAGCTCCAATTAAGATGATTAAAGAGGCTATGGAATGATAAGAAAGAGCTCTAAAACTTCCATGTTTTGATTTTTGAGAGATATTGACTGCATCAACGTCAAACTCGCGCTTGAAGTTACAGCCAGTGCACTGTTCATGTGCACTGTTCACGTCCTGTTTCATCCCTTTTCCATTTTCAATCCATTCCTAAGCCAACCAAATCCATCCCAAACCTCTCCAACACATATTTCTACACCAAACCTATTTAATACAAGTTCTAGGATCTAAAAGTTCATATTTTCACTTATTAAAACCAAATTTCAACTATTATTTCCACTAACATTTGAAATCTCTATTTTTCAATCTACCAAATTCAAACACACATCAATACACATATCCACATTTTATCCACAATTATTTACTATATATCTATATACATATATAAAAGAAAATGCGGGGTGTTACAATATTGTGCGTCTGTGCAAACAATCACAAGTATATATGCATAAAAAGTAAAGAACAAAAGTGTTTTATTGACGCGAAAAATCCTCTTTAGGAAAAACCATAGTGGACCTTCTCGGTTCACAAAAACTTAATCTACTACCTCAAAGTCAACATACATAGATTCGAGTCTTATACCTAAACCAATACCATGGTTAGATGCTCCCTTCCTTTAATATGTCTCTCTGACAAGGGCCTCTTTCGATGTCGTGTGTAGCTTCATGTGAATTCACCTTTACAAAGGATCCTCTACACCTCAAGCAATTATGGACATGCGAATGATCCCCAATATGCACACCCCAATGAGTTTGGTTCAAACCATTCAAGATCTTTAACACCAAGTGTTGAGGTTTGGTAGAATCTCTAGAAGGTAGACTTGGGTCTTAGTGATCTAGGGTTATGGTGGAAGCTCTCTAGAGTATAAGATAGATTTCTCTATTGAAAATCAGCCTGAAAGCTTGCCCTAGTAGTAGAAAAGACACTCCCTATTTATCGGTTTGGAATAAGGGTAATATTGGATAATAAGAAAATTTAGATTCACGACTAACCACTCGTTTGTGGGAAGGCGATGGTCATTGAATGAAAATTGCATTTTAAACTGAATTAGGAGAGTAGACCACTCCCCCCCAGAGGGCAAGCCCTGTTCTCCTTCATTTGACATTTTCCTTTATTTTCCACTAAGTCATCAAGAGACCACTCTAGCGAAGGTTATCGAGCATAGGGTGGTTCCTATTGGGTTTTTAAGCCTAAAACCAAGTGAAAAACTTGTCCTCTTGAGCACTAAAGGGTGATGCTCAAGAGGGGTCCAA